ATATGATTTCTAGAGCCGAGAGCGGGAGATTTGTTGGAGCACGTTGGGAAGAAGGGTATTATATGGGAGGTCTGCAGACAGGGTCCCACAGGATGGTTATTTGGCATTGTCAGGATTTAGTGGTTTTAGTAACCGTTATTGATTGGCGGAGGAAGGCGCCAAGGGAAGCAACTCGTTGTTGAGACATTAGTTGGGGCATCTATCTTTGGACTTCAAGATTTGGGGGTGGGATCATTAGAGCATTAGGGACTGTTGGTGTCCCTGGGATTCAGAAAGTGTTCATCTAGTTATTAGAAGCGTGCGATCATATGGGGTTGGCTAGTAAGGGAGTACTAGTTGGAAAGGTCCGGTCGTCATCAGATCGATCGTTGGAAAGTGAGAAGGATTGGAAATTTCTCAAATTTTCATGTACTGTGAAGACTTAGTTGAATCTAAGCGGGGGAGAATCATCCCGGAATGCAGAAGCAGGATCGGTTTTGAAATGGCATAAGTTTCATCGTTGTCAGGAAGGAAGACAACCCAAGTGGCTGTTTGGTTTGAGGGTTGTGTGAGTTGGGAGTTCGGTAAAACTCCCCAACATGGGAATCGCGTCTTCTCGGTGCTGGATAGCAGATTTTGGGAAATAAGGTTGGGATTCTAGCCTTGAATTAATTTCAGTTGTGTGTTAGGTCGAGTGCGTGTCGACCGGTATGGAAAGTGTTGTAAGACTGCGGGGGTAGCCGTAGCATTCACTAGCGATCAGGCGGTATGGAAAGTGTTGTAAGATTGTGGGGGTAGCCGTAGCATTCACTAACGATCAGGTAGTATGGAAAGTGTTGTAAGACTGCGAGGGTAGCCGTAGCATTCACTAGCAATCAGGTAGTATGGAAAGTATTGTAAGACTGCGGGGGTAGCCGTAGCATTCACTAGAAGCAGATAGTGCTAGAGTGATGTAAGTCTGGGGGTGTAGCCGCCACATTCACTAGGTTGGTAGATAGCATGATCGTGTTATTAGGACGCGGAAGGGACAGTAGTAACCACCGGTTCGGGTGTAACAGTGAGGATATGGAAATCCACGGATGGGTTTATGGGTTTCCCGCAGAGGGATTAGACCTGGTTTAGCCAGCGATAAGACTGTAAGAACGCCACTAACGTTAAGAGATCAAGGAAGCAAGGAATTGCTTAAGGTCGTTTGTGATATAAGTCTACCGTTGGTTAGGTAGCAATCACTTTTAGCCTTGGATTTGATGACGTCAGGATTTGACGCATGGATCCGATCGGTTGGATCAGGAGGTTGTTAGAGTCACAGTGGCATGATAACTAGTGGCAACTAGTTCCAGGGAAGGATTTCGTTCGGAAGTCGTGTGAGGCAACTATGTGGGAGTCCTTTAGCTCCGCGACCGGGCCGGAACCCGGTATTTCAGATGAGTGTTACTCGGTTGTGACGAAACAGAGTATTTTGGATGAGATGCAAGGATAGGTCCTTGGATTTCCAGTTATGGGTTAGACCCGTCGTAGGCATGCCTGGTATTGCAGCCCGATGCTGATTGGGCCAGGTATGAGTATTTGTGCTTATGAGCCGGTTATTATATGTATGTGGTTCGGGAACTAAAGGATCATAGTTAGCAGTGTGAGATTTGTGATTCTGTTTTCTAGTGGGAACCTCAGGTTATCAGAAGTTGAGTAGCCAGTTGGGAGTTAGGTGCAATGCATTCGACAATGATCCAACGTGGGTAGTCTGTCAGGGAGCCAGACCATCTCGAGACTTCAGATTACGGATTGAGTAAATGTGATCATATTGCAAGGGATTTGTTTGTTTTCAGGTCTTGTAACCATGTGAGGGTTGGTTACGGTTGCCTTGGAAAGGCTAGGGTGAAGCTTGGGATTGTAGTTCAAGTTGTTCGGCGTGTAAGGAATGAGAAGAAACGATTTCGAGGACGAAATCAAATTTAAGTGGGGGAGAGTTGTAACATCCCATTTTAAGAAGAGTAATTAAATAATAAATCAGGAACCCCGGGAAGTAATTATTTTGATTATTTTATATTATCAGAGCTCAAAATTAAATAATAATAAGCTGGGAGTTGGTTTCGGGAAGCCAAATGACAAGATTTAAATCCCCAGGGGTTAAAACGTAATTTCAGGATTTATTATGAAAGGATTTTAAGGAGCCAGTGTTTAAATGGTAATTATTGGACTTGGTTTGAAGAGAATGGAATGAGAGGGACCAGTTCTGTCATTTTCTCCATAAGTTGCTTGGAGCCGGGTATTTAACTGTTTGGTATCCCACGCAAACCCTAACCCTATTCCCAGCCGTCACCTTCCCCTTATACCTCCCTCTCATCTTCAACCGGCCGCCATCTTCTATCTCTCAACTCTGGCGCCACCAGCATGTCGCTTATTTCGATCAACCGAGACCAACGAATCCATCCACCATGACCAGAGAAGCTGAAGGCCACCGGGGGGGGGGGGGAGGGGGCAGCGGGCGATCCTTCATCGCTGTCGGGTTCCTTTTCCCCCAGCCGCCGATGCACCTTCGTTGTTGGAGTCGGAGCTGCCGACGAGGACCGAGCGTCAGTTCTTCGCTGCTGCTGGACTGTTCTGAAGAGGTCGAGACCGCTCCAATCGCTCTTCTTCAATGTTGTTCAGATCTTGCCGATCCCCCTTCGTCTGTCGCTGGCGCCGTCAACGCCGTTGCTGCCTAGCCATGTTCACCGCCGCCACAGTGCTGCTACCGGAGTCGCTGTGGGCAGCGAGTGACCGCCAGAGGCCGATGAACTGTCTTGTTCAATGCTGCGTGGGTGTGGACATCCGGGAACCTTTGGGAACGGGAAGGAACTCATCGCAGCTGCCTACTGCCACCTCCGACCACCGCCTGCCGTCATAGGGCGGCTGTGTGCGTGTGTGCATGTTTAATTAGTATGTGTGTGTAGTTTAGTGTGTGTTTGGACTTGGTGTTGTAAACTGTATTCGGTGCCGAAATAATAATAGAGAAACTCCAAACCACCACCGTGAGGTGGTGGTTGCCGCCTCCTGCCGCCATCGGCCGCCGTGTCGGGTGGCGGTGTGCTTTGATTTCGTTTGGACCTCGTTTGGGGGATGTTTGGACAATGTGGGACCAATGAAACCCTAGTGGGCCCAATGGAACCCTAATGGGCTAATAAGGCCCAATGTGACCTAAAAGCCCAACCAATGGACTAATGGGCTAGTTTTGGGTTGGATACCCTAATTAGGGTTTGGAAAACCCTAAGGGCATAAAACCCTAATTGTGGGAATCGTTTGGGATACACACGAGAATTAATTAAACCTAAAATAAATATTAATAATCATTGGCAAACTAGCTTAAGGCAATAATGGACTTAATGGATTGAGTTCTTAATGGGTTAAGTAAGAAACACCTAACCCTAATCATCATTTCATGTGAAAGCCCTAATCTCACTCAGGTCTTGAATTGGGCCTTCTTATTGGGCTTTGGCGAGTGGACTATTGGTGGGCGATCCAAGAACGAGTTAATGGACTAAAGTAATTAAATGGGCTTTAGGATAAGGCCCATGTGAGGACTTGGGCCCAATTTGGAAAATTAGGCCATAGATGGGCCATAATTGGGCCTTTATGATTATGTGTTATTGGGCCATTGGAGTACCAAGAGTTTGGACTAGAATTAATGGATAGGCCTTAAGGTAAGACCATGTACAGGTCTGGGCCCAATTTGGAAAATTGGGCCATATGTTGGACTTTGGCCCATTACTTGACTTTTTGGGTCTTTAGAGTGTGAGTTGGACCTTGGACTTGGAACCAATTATTAATTGGATATTGTTTGATGTTGACAGTTCAGGAAGCTGTCAACCAGCAGCTGGAGTGTTATCTGCGGAACTTCAACAGTGCCAGGTGAGTTATCCTCACTATATCAACAGGGTCTAAGGCACCAAGGCCGACCCTTTATGGATTTGTATCCGGATTATTAAATGATATGTTTATTGTTTTGCATCCCGGTAGTTAGGATGGTGATATGCTTATGCTTAGTGACCTGGTTTGGTCGGTATCCTGGTTATATGACGATGCTATGTTAGTGACCTGGTTAGGTCGGTATCCTGGTTATAGGATTATGCTATGTTAGTGACCTGGGTAGGTCGGTGTCCTGGTTATAGGATGTTGCTATGCTATTTGATCTGCTAGATCGGTTTGACTGTTATTATGATAGCATATGATATGTATGTGCACATGTTTGTTTGATTGGGGGTTGGGTTGAGGCGGTCCTGCTTTGTGCTGAAGGCTAACATACCCAGGGCGGTCCGAATATACTACAGACCCAGAAGTGTATGCTAGTCAGACCGAAGGCCCGGCGAGCGGTCCGGATAGGCTGTAGGCCCTGCGAGGCGGTCCAGACGTGCCGAAGGCTCGGAGAGTGGTCCAGATAGACTGAAGGCCTGCGAGGCGGTCCAGTCAGGCTGAAGGGTCATTATGCAGGTTGTTTGTTTATATGTTATATGATATGATTATGATTGTAAGACGTTGGTATTTTGGGGGTAACTCACTAAGCCTTCGAGCTTACATTTATCGATTATTGTTTCAGGTATTCTGATGATCGCGGGAAGACGAAGGCGTGATCGTGCACCTCCTTACATTTTCATGAATTGATTCTGGGGATACTCTGATGTTTAAATTATTTTGAAAACAAACTGTAATAATGGTTTAAATTTTTTAAAAAGTTTTAAATTGGCTTGAATTTTTATGGGTGTTACAACGGTTCATAATTTTCGTTGTCTGCTTAATATTAGGTCCTACGTCGTCCTTTTTAGTGTTTGAACCTTGCTTGATCAAACCCATAATATCTGAATGGATTTCGTGAACCTTTTATATATGCTCCCTCGTTAAAACAAAGCCCCAGATTCCATTTTTCTACGCTTCAGACTTTTGTTATTTTGTTTAGGAACATCAGAGTGTGAAGGGTTACCAGTAACCTCTTCATCAAAGTTAGTCCAAAAAGAATTTTCTTGATTATCTAGACTCTCTAGTCTAGAATATTAAGAATATTCACGCATAGCCTCATCGGACCAAGCATTTTCATTTTGTATCTCGTCTGCATCATTAATTGATTTATCGCACACTCCAGATTTAATGAGGGAGCTACGCAACCCACTCCTGTTGCCACAGCGGCACCAAACAAATGATCCCATTTTTCTTCTAGTAGTGGATAAACTCCCTTGTGACGGTACTTCTTTGCATGTGGTTTCTCTTATAAAGTGAACTAATAAGACGCTATAATATCAAAAGGAGACACAATACTACAAATAAAAATATCTAAGTAATACCTTTAGCTTTCTATCCCACCATTCATCCGAACAATCTAGCTTTCCGGTGGTTGGGTTCCAACCTAAACCAGTTTCTCCCGTTTTTAAAAATTTCCAAAGGCGCCGATCTCTCTTCATGCTATCATACTTGTTCTTTAAGCTTTTAAAGTTACACCTTTTACCAACCTTTTCTGCAAACAAGTCTTCTATCTCTCGCCATCTCATGAGTTGACCACGTCCATTATTCGTAATGTAGTCGATACAAACCTCACAAAATTTTACAATATTCTCGTTGGTCCAGTTTATACCTTCTTCGGTATCTTTGTTAGGAGCCAGGTTTCTTGTAAAAGCCCTGTACATGTATTATATATAAAATTCAGCAGCGGGTAGGGAACAGGGTACAAGGCTATAGTAAAGGAACAAACAAAAACAAACAACACCACCTCCAGAAAAGTAAGACCAAACTATTATAGAAAATGCATTACCCCTAAGGACTAATGACTAAACTTTTTATTATCTATAATTGACAGACAAATTCTGATAACTTAGTGACTATCTTCAAAAAAACAATGCACTTTGAAGTTTGAACAGTCCACCCTGATCAACACTCCAAAAAATGGCATCAAACATAAACCAAAAAATACACAATTAGGAGAAAAAGGCAGCAATTCAATGCCTACTGAATTACAGGTAAGTAATGACTAAACTTTTTGTTATCTGTTATTGACAAATTTCTATCTTTCTTATGGGTACAATTTTTTCATTGATGATGAAATGGGGTTTTTAAGTAAGAAAAAAAATCTTACAGGGCATGTAGGAATATAACAAGACAAGTGAAAAGTGGGTTAGTGTATAAGATTTGGAGTCGAGAACTATTACATAATTGAGAGAAAAAGAAAGCAATTGGGAGATAAAAATGAATTAGCCCAAACAAGTATATTGGAAATAAAATACCCCTGCTTCTTGATTCTTGCATACAACATAGGATATAAAAATAGAACCAGACATAGCATTATAGATTCAGAAGGAAAATTAACTTGGATGGCTAAAAAATCACTAAAGCAAAACAAATAGATGAAATTGATCGATACAGTAATATGAAGACCTAAATTCATGTGTATAGTATCGATCAACTGGATGAGAAAATAAAGGTAAACAAAAGAATGCATACCTGATGATGATAAACAGGACTTCAACGTCTGCTTCATGCAAATTAGTAGCTTCAACAAGGTCCTGCTTCTCTTACAGAAATCGATAGCATCAATAATGCCCAGCTTTATAGAAATCGATGGTGGAGAGAAAAATTTCTTGTGATTTGGAAGGAAATTGATCTTACCTGATGATGATAAAGACGACTTCAATGATGATAAAGAAGACTTCAACGATGCCTCTTCATACAAATTAGTAACGAGGTCCCACTTCTCTAATAGAAATCGATAGCATCAATAATGCACCAATTTATGGAAATCGATGGAGGGAAAAGTTTCTTGCGATTTGGAGGGTAATTGATAATTTGGGATAATCAGTTCCTGAGATTTTGTGATCGTGCATATCTATTAGCTATTTTTGAAGGGCGTAATTGGAAGAAATAGAAAAAGCTCATTCAAACGTTGATTGGAGTAGCTTATGAAAACGCTAGCTTATAATCTACTTTTTGATTTGTCAAATATAACATACCCAAAAAGCTCAAAAAAATAAGCTAGCTATGGCGCGAAACAGAACCTTACTATGGGTGGAACCACAATTATTGGTTTCTAACTTTTTTTAATAATTTTCTTTTTTTATCTATTTACAATACAGTCCACATTTCCATAAGGCCTAATTATTAGGGAAAGATACATTATATTTTTTGTTTTTTCTTCAATACAAAAGCTAAAAACAATTATGTTTATTTTGTTTTTATTCCTCTAAATAGATGCCCACTTTTAGTTTGTTTTTTTTGTTTTCTTTCTGTTATGATCATATTTTTTTATGTATATTATGATACAAATGTTACATAGATATTAGGGAAAACTGCAATAAAGTCCCATATTGGCCTCATAATCGATTTAGCCCCTATATTTTTTTATTCAATTGAGCCCAAATACCGGTAATCGTATTCAATTTAACCATTTGACCCGGTCAACAGGTCATCCAACTTTCAAAAATTACATTTTTGGCCCAGATTTCAAAATTTATTACAAATTTGGTCCAAAATTTACACTTTTGGCTCAGATTTTAAATTTTGTTACAAATTTGGTCCAAACTTTACCCTTTCTGCCCAAATTTTAGAATTTTATTATGAATTCATCCTAACTTTAGTTTTTTTTACAACTTTTTTTCTCAAATAATTGTTTCTAATATGTTTTTTCTTTATAAAATCATATTTATACAAAAAAAACGTATTTTCACATAAAAATCTTATATTTTCTATATAAAAACTTTTTTTAAAAACTTTTTTTGTAATTGAAATATCTAGTTATAAAAATGGGTATTTATTAAGTATATAAATATATACAAATCTGTTTTTTATAAAAAAAAATGTATACAAAAACGTATTTTACAAAAAAAAATGTATACAAACACCTATTTTATCCATATTTTTTTTAATAAAATCATGTTTATTTACATTTTTTTTATAAAAACGTGTTTGAATAATTTTTTATATAATACGTATTTGTATACATTTTATGAAACGTATACAAACACGATTTTATAAAATATATACAAATACGTATTATATAAAAAATTATTCAAACACGTTTTTATAAAATGTATACAAACACGATTTTATAAAAAAATATAAACAAACACGATTTTATAAAAAAATATATAGATACACACCTATATATATATATATATATATATATATATATATATATATATATATAGAGGTAGGTTATATCGAGAACAGACGAAAGGTTGAGAACGTGAGAACAAATCTCAACCATCTAATTACTTAGATCTAGGGCTACAACATGTAAGGGCCATTTTTGTAAATATCAAAACTGAAAATCTTAAAATGTAAATAAAAAAATACAGCAAAGGGTACTGAGGTAAATTCAAATGGTTTAATTTAGGTTAGTGTAAATAAGAAAATAACGTAAATCTGATTTCATGAAATTGGGCTTAATATCTGAATGTTGGTTCTGCGTGTTTGAGAGCGACTGTAACGTCCGTGTTTCTAGGCTAGACATTACTGATGGTGTAAAAGTTTAGGTTAACCTTTGTAACTCATTTTGAAATAATAGAATGTATTATTTAAGTATTATATGTTTTGTGCTTAGTTGTGTGACTTAAATGAATTAAGGATAAAAATAAGCGTCAAAATAAAATTTTAGATAAACCCGACATCTATGAAGGATGTGGTAGTGGTCCTGACGAGGTTTCCGAATATATAAAGAATGCTGAAATCCGAGTTATAACGAAGAAGTTGTGACATGTCGAAGTTTCGCGACAGAACCGGCACGACGCTGAATGACGTAAAATATGAATTTAAGATAGAGCGACATCTAGCCTTAGTGATCTAAACGAAAGTCGTAGAATAAGTTAAACCGAGAGCATGCATAAGAAGAACGTCCAAATCTGACTTCGTATGAGGAAGTTATGATTTTTCGAAGTTTCGACTTAGCGGTATGCAGCCCAAAGTTCGAATATGAGATCGAGTGGTTTTTAGCCGAAACAATCTAAACTAGAATTGAAGATCTCATCGATAGTAGTCCAACGGTGAAAAGACAGACGAAAACGGACGTCGGATGAAGAAGTTATGAGTTTATAACGGAGTTTTCCTGTCCCGACCTACTAAATATAATATAATAAAAATAAATTCAAAATTAGCCGACGAAATCTAAACGAGAGTTGTAGAGCATAATCTCACCTACGCGTGGATATAAAGAACTTCGAAAACGGAGATCGTATGTAAGAGTTATGATTTTCTGAAGTTCGAGGCACGCATCCCAAAGGACGAACGCCCCGCGTTCGTTTGGTAGGCCTCAGATTGGCCATGTATCTGCTGACTCGGAGCTCTCATCGGATAAGAACCAAACCCCCGCTCCTACGCGCAGCGTTCAGGGAACGCGTTGCGTACCTCGCTGGAACGCGCTGCGTACCGAAGGCCAGCCTCACCCTATAAATAAGGTGCGAGACCAGCCGATCTTGTTTGCTAATTTTCCACTTCTTCACCCTTTTTCTTTCTTCTACTTTGCGAGAAATACCCCCGAATCCCCGGTATCATCCCGACACCCGAAGCAAGTCCCGAAGCCCCGAAGATCCCGAGAAATAGAGTTGTCGAGCCAAAACTCTTCCCGCGAGAAGCCCGGTTTTTGGAAGATATCCCGGTTTCATCGAAGATTATTCTTTTGTCAATTTCGATTTCTATTAGTTTAATTTTCAGAAATAAACCCCCCCCCCTTTATGTTTATTGCATTCATCAAGAATTAGACCACACCTTACGCAAAGAGGTGTAAACATTAGAACGTGTCCTTGAGGATCCGACCCTGCTTACCTGTACTACCTGTTAGTGCCATAAAGCAATTTATTTATTATTTTTTATTTGTTTAAATCGTGTACGACAGCGGTCTTAACAAATTGGCGCTGTTGCCGGGGACACGGTAAAACACTAATAGTTTTATGCCAAGATCTTCACGTACAGGTAATCTGATTTTTGATCCAGAGATTGAGAAGACTGCTAGGAAGCTAAAGAAGGAAGCAAAACTTCGGAAGCAACAAACAGGAACCTCAACCTCACCCATACCACAAGGCACTCCCTTGTGGAACGAACCTAAACACTCATTTCAACCTTTTCCGAAAGCACCACCTACCTCACCCGTTAACAGCCCGTTCAAAACATACTCATCATCATCTTCAGACAAACCCGAACTCACAGATTCTTCTGAAACCGAATCAGAATTCATCATGAGCGAGAACGGAGATGATGCTGAAAAAACTCTCCGTGAGTGGGCAACACAAGAGGTTACCCAGCAGCCATTGTGTATCACCTTTCCAGAAGCTTGAAATTTTGAGCTCAAATCCGGTTTAATCCATCTACTGCCCCCATTTCGAGGCCTTGAGAATGAAGATCCTCATAAATTTCTCAAGGAATTCCATGTTGTCTGCTCTGGAATGAAACCCCATGGAGTTACTAAAGACCAGATCACACTCAGGGCGTTCCCCTTCTCAGTTCAAGATGCAGCAAAAGAGTGGTTATATGACCTTCCATCTGGTTCAATAACAAGCTGGAATGAACTCGCCAAGCTCTTCCTAGAAAAATATTTTCCCGAGGCGAAAGTGTCAAATCTACGCAGAGAGATTTTGGGTATAAAACAAGGCAAAAGAGAAGCTCTCCACACTTATTGGGAGCGATTCAAGAAGCTGTTAGTCCG